CCCCTGATTGTCTGGCACTGTGCTGTGACTCATCTAGTTTGCTAGATCTAACTCCAAAGTAGGGATGTGAATGGGTAACTGCTTACTCTGGTAAGCATCACTCTTACTGGGTGATGCTTACTTGGTAGTGATAGACCGGCAGCTGGGATCCCAGTGGGGCTGTTCCAGCCAGGCTAGAGCAATTCCCCGCCCAGGATCCTGCTTAATTAGTTAACTGGTTAAACCTAACACTTAAGCAGTTAACGGATTAAGAGGGATTTTACACTCCTACTCTAGAGAACTAGTCAGTGTTGTTTTGTCTAGTTTTTATGGGAGAGATCACTAGAACAGCATCTCTGTTGCATAAATATTCATCAGGAGGAACAGGCTCTTTGACCAACAAATCTGTTCTTGCCATTGAGTGAAATACTTAATTTAATTTTTTTCATTTTCAGGCTTATTTTCATATCCACACAGTGCTAATTTCCAATATTGAATTTTTAAACTCAGCCCTTCTGGAGTTGTCTTTATGAATTTTGAATGAAAATCTGACATTTCTCACACAACTTTGATGTGGATGGTGTCTTTCACAAATCAGCTGACATTTAGATGTGCATCCAAATTTAGATTTTGTTAGGTTCATTGGTGATCCTGGGGACATGGAAAATCATAATTCTGCCAAAAGTCAGTGGTTTTCTTAGCGAAAATGAAAATATTTAAAGCAATTGGCTTACATTTAGGCTTGATCTCACAATTTCTTCAGATCTTGCATAGTTTTTTTGTGTGGCTCTGTTCTGCACCCTCTCTAGTTTTTCAAAATCCTCTTCCAGATCTCCAGAACTAAAGACACAGTATTGTTGTATTTGTCTCACTAATATTATATACAGAGGTAAGATCATATCTTTGGTCCCACTTACTAACCCAGGAGTAGGCTATAATTTTTGATGGGATGGGAGCACTCCAAGAATTTGGTAAGCAGTGAAGGGTTTTACTTTACCATGATGTTAATGGAAAGGGTGCATACAGGGTCTGTGATGGAGATTGAGTGAAGGAGGGGCTTGTAACATGGGGCAGGAGGATTGGGGTACAGGGTCTGGAAGAAGGAATGGGTGTAGAAGGTTTGGGGCATGTGGGGTATGGGGTGCAGGAGGAGGGGCAAAGGGTTTGGATTACATGGGGGAGTAAAGGGCTGGGTGCCAGAGGCAGGCTCTGTCCAGAGGACACTTACGTAGGCAACTCCCTGCCTGCAGCTCAGCAGGTTTCTCAGACAGTCTCCCTGCCTCCTGTGCCCTGCACAGCACTCAGAGCAGCTGCAAGGGCCATGTGCTGCTCTGAATGCTGTGAGCTTGAAGGGATGGGGGAGAGGAGCTGCAAGATTGCCTGGGTGCAGGAACAACGCATGAAGCCTCTCCACGCTTTCCCTCCAGACATCCATGTGGCCTCCATAGTGGCTGCTCTGAATACCATGCAGGGGCAGGGCAGTCAGGGAGCATGGCCAAGGTTCCTGCTGTACCCACGGGCTGGATCTGGTGGCTTGGTGGGCTGGATCTGGCCTGTGGGCTGTATTTTGCCCATTTCTGCACCAACCCCATGTTTATGCATCCAAGGATCACCTTTTTTGCCACAGATACACTGGGAGCAGTTTATTCAATTGTTTATCTACTATGATCATTACATTCTTTTTAGAGTCACTGTTCTGCAGGATTCAGTCCCCCTTTTTGCAGGTATGGCCTGGTTTCTTAGTATACAGTGTAAGTTTTCATTTGACTCTATTAAACATTTTGTTCGAATGGATCCCACTTACCAAGTTAATCAGATTTCTGTGTGATTGTCCTGTCTGGTCCAGTTGTAAATAAGTATGAAATTCGTCTGAAGAAGTGGGTTGTGCCCATGAAAGCTCATGAGACCAGCTATATGTTTTTATTAGTCTCTAATGCAGCACTACTCAACATGCGGCCTTCAGCCCATTGGTTTTCAGCCCATGGGTGGGAGCCAAAACAAAAAGGCAGTCAATATAATGGTCTTCTGTTGATATTTGTTTTAGTAGTTACATTCCTGGACTGTCATTGCTCATTAAAAGTGCTGTCACGTGGGTGGAAATTGGGTAAATATTGCGTTTTATTAATATCAGCAGAACTTACTTAAATGGAGCTTGTGTATTGTATTGTATTGCCTTAATCTTTGTATTCATGCTCGTCAGTGTGAAAAGCTGTTTGCAAATATTTGTATATACAGTTGCATGTATATGCAACCCCACTTATGTTGTGGCCCTCGGCACATGCCGTGAGTATCACTGTGGCCCCTGGGGCTTCCAAAGTTGAATAGCCCTGCTCTAAGGTGCTACAAATTTTACCAGAAGTGTTTTTTATGTTTACTTTCCAATCATTGATCAAGTGTTGAATAGCACTAAGCCCAGTACCAATGTCCATAAAACCCCCAATAGAAATACTCATACTTGATGATGCTGATGGTTCCCTATTTACTACAACTTTTTGAGAACTGTCAGCTAACCAGTTCTTCTTCAACATGTGCCAGAATACTAATTTTTAAATCTGAATGTTACATGGTCTTAAATCAAATGCCTTACTGAAGTGTTAAGTCTGCTACATCTACTCAGTTTTCTTTTCCCACCATATGTATAATCTCAAAGAATGAAATCAGACTTATTTAACACAGACCTATTTTCTGTAAAACCTTGTTTTTCTGTCATTAATTATATTCTTTATTGGCTGAATCACAGATCAGTTTTCCCATTATGTTATCCATGATTATATGAGGCTAATTGATCTATAGTTACTTAGATCATCTGACTGGCTCTTTTACGAAGATTTCCACATTGGGATTATTCCAGTATTCTGGAATTTCCTCAGTATTCTAAAACTTACATTTTTATAATTTCAGTGGGCCAGAGAGATATTTTAGATTCTTTTAGGATTCTTGATATGAGTTTTTAAAAGTTTCTCACTACTAGATATTTTATATCCTCAGGTACTTATGGACTAGTACTTCATTATCCTGGTATGGAATGAGTATAGCATCTTGCCTCATTCCAAATACAAAACAGATATTTATTGAACAAACATGGAAACCATTATAAACTGTATCAGTAGAAACTGCTGCTTATAGTGACTGTGCCTGTCTGCTCTGGGAGTTTGCCTTCATGCAGGTACACCAATGGCTGACCAGCAGTAGATGAACTCCTCTGATGAAGCAGGTTTTGCCCACGAAAGCTCACGATCCTATATATTTGTTAGTCTCTAAGGTGCCACAACACTACCAGTTGTATAGTATATATGCTATGTCTTTGGCAAAGTGAAGTGGCTAGAGAAGAACTAATTACATTCACTCCTAAAATGACTGTGATTTGTCAGTTTTCATATAATTCCCTATAATATAGATACTGTTCTTTTTAGCATTACATTTCTCACTTGTCAGCCTTACAAATAGAAAGGAACAGATGAAGTTTTTAAATGGCTTGCTAGGAGAGATGCCGTTGGTCCCAATATATAAACATATTACCAAAATACCCTTTCCTATTTATTGATTCAAAATTGTTCAGTGTCATTAAGTATGCAGGTGACTGAGAGGAATTGGGAAAATGGTGAAATACTCTCTGGGGTTTTTTGCCTCCTATATGTTGCATACAGAAGAGATTTTCTTTGAAGAAAATAGTTCATGCTAGACAGAACAAAGATGATCGAAACACAGGGGGGTGAGGGTTGTGCTTTTTCTCATACATTTTATTTAGGCATTTCACTTTCATATGAAAAGATTAAAAGGAGGCAAAGGGAAACTTAATAGCATTCCAGCTGCCTTGAAGATCTGGTTTGAAAAGTTTCTTTATGAACTTAGAACACTAGTACAGTACTTGTGAAGTGGCCAACATTCAAAGAGAAATGTTCCTCTTTCTCTTGCTCGCCACCCAAATCATGGTTTGCTCACTCAGCTATATCTTAGAGGCAGCAGGGCTGCTTCTGAAGTTTAATTTTGTTCTGAAAGAGGAGTAGAGATCATACTTAAAAAGATGGTGACACTTTAAAATATCTATTTTTTAATTGAATTTTGGATTCAGAATTGTGAAAATTTGACAAAATGGCGGTGGTTCTTCGCAGAGTTTCCCCATGGGTGCTCCACCTTTAGGTGCACCAGCTCTGCTTTGCCTCTTGTAGGAGACTTTTGCCAGCAGTGCCCCGGTCAGCCACACACGTGGAACGCTGGCATGCAACACTTGAAACCGCTATCCTGCATGTGCAGCCAACCACCTCCTCACTTCCTTTCTGAGCGCCGCTGGCTTCAGTCGCAGCAGAGCAGTTGCCCTCAGATTACCTTGTTGATAGTTGTTACATAGTGATCTTAGCAATTAGTTAATACTGCTATTAGTATAGTTTAGTTGTTTTTCTCAATAATTAAAAAACAATTCTTTGTTGCTAAGCCACGGCTTATTACATCGCTGATGTGCATTTTGGACGAACAATACTCAGTTACCAAGTCAAATTCACTGAAGTCCCTGCCACTGAGCACACATACGGCTTTGTAATCACCTAAAGGTGGAGCAGCCATGGGGACACTCCTCGAAGAGGGAAAGGTTATTCACCTGGTGCAGTTCTTTGAGGTGGTTGTCCTCGGGGGTGTTCCACCACCCACCTTCCTCCCCTCTGCTTTAGATCCAGCTGCATCCGGGTCAGAGAAGTTCCCTTTTTCCATGACTGATGCTGTATAATTAGAGCTCTACAAATCTGTGGATGCAGATAGCCTCAGACCATGATTGCGGATACAGATTTTGTATCTGTGAAGGGCTAATATTCATTCTTTCAAATGATCTACATACATCTCAAATTTCACAGTGATCTTTTATGTAGATATTTGGAAGAGTTTAAGAAACATTTTCATAGTCTTAATGTTTTGAAAGACATGTTTAGGAGTAAGTATACATTATGCTGAAAGGCAACGCAACACAACACAATTTCCAACAATACAGAAATATGCTGAGGAAGCAATGATTTTCTTATTTCACTTTACAGGTTGTTAAAGCAAGGAGGCTTGTGGGAAAACATCCAGGTAATTAAGTGGTTTAAATTCTATAGCATTATGTTCTTGGAGACAGAGTAATATAATGATGATCTTGACAATAGTGGTAAATAATATGGAGATTTATTTTAAACACTTAGAAAATTATTGAAATTGTTTAAGTAACAATGTGATACATTTTGTGTTTCTGCCAATCAAACTCACTCATATTCTCATGTTTAATAAAATACGGTGGTAGGAAGCAGTCTTTCTTTTTGTGGGGATGGCCTAGATCTAAACATACCATGTCATTCCCGCAAATATAAAGGTGCCATAAGAGTATCTTAGTACTTTATAATAACAATTAAACCTCACAGCACCACACTTAAATAGGAAACTATTGTCCTATTTTTATAAATAGATAATGTAGGACACAGAGCTGAAATGCTAAAGAATACTTAGCAAGTGTTTTGACCATGATGTGTCACTTGGCAAAATTGATGTAATTACTGTCAGCTTTAAATTCTGCTATTCATTGTATTCATCTTTGTTATTTTCCATGAGAGTCTTCAAGCAGCAGAACCGGAGAAGTTGCTTGTGTTTTAGATTGATACGAGGTGCCTATTAAATTGTCATTCATACCTTTCTCTCCTCACAGTTTGGTTATTTGCTGCTTCCTGGAAAGTTGCCCAATGGGCACATTTAGGGAGATGATGTGTAATGGACTTTCATCTTCAGGCTGGTAGGCAGCAAATACTTCAGCAGTATTGTGGACAGTGACTGTTCACTTTCTTAGAATCTGATTTCTGCTGAAAAAGCTTCTAATTTTAGATGCCCTAGATAAGAGGCGAGGAACTAATGCAGGGGAAGGCCCTAGGCCAGATCCAGGCAACCCAGGGGCTGCACCTGGCCCCTGGGCCTTCGGTTCCCCATCCCTGCCCTAGATGAAAAGTCAAAACATTTCATTATCTGTCTTATGTCCTGATGCTTAATGTGCTTGAAAACCAACTACTTCAGACTACGCAGACTATGCTACAGCCATACCCTGGGGCACTACTCTTGCCTTGTTACTCAGCCACATGTGCCTGGAACAACCTTCTGTTGATGTGCCACATGTCTTCATTCTCCTCAATTTTCCCTTCTTCCCAAACTTGATGCTTTTAATTTGTTGTAATTTGTCCTTCCCATCCCCAACTCTTTCTTGTCATCACTTGCTGTGTTACGTGTAATTTATGCTATGTCTACATTGGCAACTGAGCAACACAACTTTTGTTTGAAAACAAGGTGTTAAAATGACACTTGTGTGAGACAAAACATTTTTACCGACAACTAGTGCCGGTGACAACAGTACTTTTTTGGCATGAGTGCTCTCCTGCCCACAAAACTAACACCACTTGTTGGAGGTGGAAATATTTTGTTGGCAAAAGAGCTGACAGACTGCAGCAACACTGCCCAACTTTTAGTGACTTGACTGTAGAGACACATGTAGATGAAACCTTATAATAAGCTGCCCAGAGGAGCTTATTTACTTCACTTCTGTACATAAAATGCAGATCTGTCCTTCCTAAGCTTTGTCTCCTAAGGGGATACCATGCCAGTTTATGGAGAGATTGTAACATTAATAATTTGGATTATTTAAAAAATGATCCAGGATGGCTCTTGGTACTTTTTAAAATAAAATCAATCAGGGCTAAAAGCTTTTTTTTAAACCAAAAAACACTCCTTCACTAAGAGAGCCTGAAATTGTGACTTAGTAATGACAAGAGGCATGATTTGAGCTTCATGCTGTATGTCAGTGGTCCCCAACGTGCTGTAACATTAATAATTTGGATTATTTAAAAAATGATCCAGGATGGCTCTTGGTACTTTTTAAAATAAAATCAATCAGGGCTAAAAGCTTTTTTTTAAACCAAAAAACACTCCTTCACTAAGAGAGCCTGAAATTGTGACTTAGTAATGACAAGAGGCATGATTTGAGCTTCATGCTGTATGTCAGTGGTCCCCAACGTGCCCGC